TGGGTCTGCTGAATACCGGGGTCCAACCGGTAGCCTAATAGGGCCTACCGGGAGAAAAAGGCCTGGCCTTTGGCTAGGCCGGCCTGGGTCCTCCTGAACCAGTGTGTCGGGCCTGTGAAGGCCCGTGTGAAGTTGCAGACTGTAACACACTCCCCCCCTTAAAAGACCGAGCTACCTGCGAGGGCGAAGTTCTGTCCGATACCAGGGTGGGTCGAGAGGGACGAACTTTGTCCTTGGCAAGTCTCCAGTTCTCGTAGTCGAAGAAGATGAGTGGTGCAGATGCCTGTAAGTCTGCGCGGGAGATCCAACGAGTGTCATCAGGGTCACATTGCTTGAAAGTGACTTGGTACTGCATTGGCTTGTTGCCAAACTTGCGGTGCCTGATGACACGGTCAACTTCCGGGTGTCCGTCCATAGAGGGCGGATCTTGTGATGGTCGGCCCGGGAACTCATCCTCGGAAGGTGGCGTGTAGATGGCCAGCTTCGATGCATGGAAGACCGGGTGCACACGAAGGTGTGGGGGGATGGCAATCACAAAGGAAGGACCTGCAGGGTCGTCGCCTGCTGCAGAAGTTACCTTCCATGGTCCAAACCATTTCGGGAGGAGTTTGCGCGAGACGTCCTGCTCGAGCGAGAATTCCTCAGCGAGGACCCAAACAAGGTCTCCTTCGCGGAAAGGACATGGGAGTCGACGTCGGTTAGCTTGCTGCTGCATGCGGACTTGAGCCTTTTGCATGTTTGCGCGGGCTTTGACCAGCAAGTCCCGATACTTCCGAACGGAAGCGGGAGAGCAAGCGACGTCAATGTCGGCGGCCCGTGGTAGAAAAAGATCGGCAAAGACTCGGGCTTTCTCTCCACCGTGATGCAGCTCGAATGGAGTGATGCAGATCGCCGGATGCACCGAAGTGTTATAGGCGAACTCGATGTCGGAAGCCGGTCAACCCAATCTTTCTGGTCGGGACGGATGAGTGTACGTAACATCATTTGAGCGGTTTGATGCGCTCGTTCCGACTGTCCATCCGTTTGCGGGTGCCATGCGGAACTCGGCTTCATAGTTGGACCGGACTCCGTCATGAGGGAAGTCCAAAATGCAGACATGAAGCGAGTGTCTCTGTCGCTCACAATATCTTCTGGAACACCGTGGCATGTAATCCAGCCGGTGTGCAAGAGTCGGTCGAGCTCGGGAGCTGTAGCGCCATACTTGCATGGAAGGAAACGAGCATACCTGCTCAAACGGTCAACGACCGTGAGAATGCCGTCATGACCGAGGCGATCGCGGGGGAATAGGCCTGTAACATCCATAGCAATGGAGAGGCGAGGTGCCCGAGGAATGGGCATCGGTTTCAGTTCGCCATAAGGGACCGTAGATCGACCTTTGTTACGATGGCAAACTGCGCGTGACTCAATGTACCTCGTGACGTCGTGAAGAACGTCGGGCCAGTGAAAACACTGGCGGAGGCGAGCCAATGTGCGGTCCACGCCAAGATGTGTCGAAAGTCGTGCGTCGTGGAATTCGCCGAGAAGACGAGTCCGTAAGATGCGATCTTGGGGCACCACTAACAAGTCCTTCCCTCTCGTGTGAAGGAGTAGGAAACCGTCGGAGATACGATAATGACCAGCCGGCGGGTGATCCGATGATAGGTCCTCATAGAGCGTAGAGTACATCGGATCGGACTTGTAGCCGTTGACGAAATGTTGTTGCAGATCGTCGTCGAGGTCGAACGTCGTGGTCACAAGGGCACAAAGATCGGGTCGTCGTGAGAGGGCGTCTGCTGCTCGATTGGCGGGACCGGGAATGTGGCATGGCTCAAAGTCGAACTGGTCGATGTAATACATCCATCGACCGATCGTGCTAGTGACCGTGTCCTGCGTTTTGTAGAAGGTCAACGGATTGTTGTCCGTGTTCCATCTAAAACGCCGACGACCGAGAAGAAAGTGGCGCCACCGTTTGAGAACGGTGACGAACGCGAGTAGCTCTTTCTTCCTAGCGTCGTCCAGAGTGTTGATGGGAGGCACTTTTTGGGAGAAGTACTCGACCGGGTGCCAACCATCCGTGTGGCATTGTTCCAATACAGGACCAATATCGTACCCGGAAGCATCCGTAGTCACTCGGGTGGGTAGGGTGGGATCATAGATACGGAGGGCCGGTGCGTCTTGCATCGCCGCCTTCAACGTATTGAACGCGCCACGAGCTGCGTCGTCGAACTCGAACGGTACCTTCAGGGACTGAATTCTCGACAAAGGAGCTGCCACTTTGGAGTAAGACTCGACGAAGCGTTGATAATATCAAAGCGTTCGTCCGTCGTGCAACGGGGTTCCAACCAATCCACGATGGCTTGGATCTTGTCCGCTAAGGGACGATTGCCTTTCGGCGTCACATAATGGCCCAAGTACTCAAGCTCTTGCTTGGAGAATTCGCACTTGTCGCAGTTTGCTTTGTACTTGGCTGCTCGCAAACGATCCAACACCACACGGAGGTGTACGAGGTGGTCATCAAGCGTCCTGCTACAGACCAAGATATCATCGAGGTAGATGAGGACGGAACGATCGAGCAAGTCTCGGAACTCAGTTGTCATGGCTGCTTGGAAGGTTGTCGGGGCATTGGTGAGTCCAAATGGCATCACGACCCACTCAAAATGCCCATACCGCGTTTTGAAGGCGGTCTTGTACCGATCTTGAGGCTGGATTTCAATTTGGTGGTAACCCGACTTCAAGTCCAACTTCGAGAAGTACGTCGCGCCGCCCAACCGCTCGACGAGATCATCAATCCGAGGGAGAGGGCCGGCGTTCTTAACGGTTTGTGCGTTCAGTTTTCGATAGTCAATGCACAGCCGTAGGTCCTTGTTCTTCTTCCGGACGAAGAGAACTGGCGCACCGTATGGCGAACAACTAGGGCGAATCCAACCCTTGTCGAGAAGGTCATCAAGTTGTGCGCGAAGCACCTCGAGTTCCTCTTCGCTCATGCGGTAAATGCATCCACGCGGAGGGATGACACCAGCCTCGAGAGTGATCCCGTGACGTATGGGCCGATCTGGAACCATTCCGGTGGGAGCCTCGAAAAAGTCTCCATATCCGTCTAAGAGGTGGGTAATACGTGGGTCCGGCAGTGACGCGGCTGGTCCGTCCGGCAAGGGAGGGCATGTAAGAAAACAAGGCCCATCTCCTCGACGTCATTCCGAGCTATGGCGTCGCGAATCCGCGCAACGGAAACCACGTGACAACCAATCGAAGTATGAGGGGTCGCGACCGTACATGGGACTAACACTCCGTTCCGATCACGGACGTGAACAGTTCGGTCGTGAAAGTTCACCGGATGATCGGCGCTACGCAACCAAGACATGCCTAGAATCATGTCAAACTTGGTGTCGAGGATGTCGAAAGACACCGGCTCGCACGCAAGTGGCGCAAAGTATACCGGGACGCCGTCAATGCATCGGTCGATCGACTTTTGCGTGCGGTCGTCCGTGAGTGTAACTTGCGTAGGTTGCTTCTTCCTTCGAACGCGCGGGCCAAGGCCTGCGTGGGCCATAAAGGCTTGGCTCATGAAATTGCGAGATGCTCCGCAATCAATCAAGGCACTGCAAGTTGCCTTTCCGATTTGAATGCGGATATAGAGCAAAGGCGCGTCGGTCTCGACGTACCTTTGGGTGGCATACTCGCGGTCAATCCTCACAAGATAGGAGCGGAGATCGACAACTGCTACTCCGTCGTCCGTCAATGGAGCTGGTATTGCAGCGTGCAAATAGGAGCGTAGATTTGCCATCAAGGCGTTACAATGCGGCCTTGGCAAGGTTCCGGTCGAGGGTAGAGGCATCCAAGCGAAGTCCTCTCTCGTGAGCGGGTCAAGCTCCTCAAGTCTTGACCACGCCGTCGAGTCCTCGGAAATCAGTGGCGAGCTGATCGGTTCACTTGCCGACGGTGTACACGCTGCGCAGACGCTATCTAAGTGCACGTGGCTAGGCTGGTCTAATGGTGGTACCAGCTGGGCGACATAATCCTCGTACGTAGCACGAGAATCAGCGACTAACGCATGCTCCCCGACAGTGATATCGGTTGCTAGCAAGGCAACCGGTTCCGGCGGAGTGAGGAGAGGCGTCGCCCCTCTCCTTGCGTAACTCAGTTTCCCGAGTTAGCTGGACGGGGTACGCGTGCCTTGCCCTTGTCCGAGCATTGTGCGGTAGTGTGGGTTGCACTATTGCACCATAGGCAATATCCGTACCGTTGACGTAGGTCAAATACCTCCTTGGTTATGTTGTATGCCGTCCATGGTTGCTGCCCACTTCCCGTCGATGTCGTCGCTTGTATCACCTTGTTCTTCCGAACTCTCTTGGGACGCTTCGGCGGGAGCGCTGCGACAACTCCTCCATCACTCGAGGATGCTGCTGCAGCGTGGAGATCAACTGATTCGTCACAAATCGCGGCATTATTATGTGTCGGTCGTTGGTAGCCCTGCTTAGCCACATAGTGCAGCTGGGACTGTCGTTCGTTAGCGGCCTTGTCATCCGTTTGGATGACCAGGTTCGCACGATCCAGAATAGCCTGGAATGAGGCATAGCCGTACTCGTTGCCGAGTGCCGACCGCAGTCCTGCGCACGATTGCGAAAAGAATTCGGATCGTTGGTTTGGAAAACTCAAGTCGAAGCCTGGAGTGGTTACTATCTTCTGCAACTTGATTGTCCAGTCTCGAGTTGGCATGTTTCCTTGTGAGCTGGTGTAGACCTCGTTCATGGCCGCCTTTACAACGTTGCGGACCATGAATCGAGTGAACCACAGTTGCTCGAACTCCTTCCACGGAATGTGTGTGTCGAGTTCGGCGATGGTGCATTTATGATTGGCCGCGAGATGGTTCATCCATGCCTGTGCTCCTCCGATAAGTTGGAGGTAGAGTGCTTTCATCATGTCTTCGGCCGGCACAGTGCGGCAGGATGCTTCGGTGAGGAAGCTTTGCTAGGCGTCCGTCTTGTTGTAATCGTCAAACTTGCTGATGTTGAAGTGCGGCATCTTGTATGTCTTTGGAGCGGCGTCCGGTCTTGCCTGCAGTTTGGTGATGTCCGTCTTGATGGCGGCCACCGTGCTGCTGATCGTGGCCGGACTAGTGAAATCACCTAGTTCGCCGATAATAGTGACGACATGGTCAATGCGCTCCCCGAGCTGCTTCGCCGTGTCTGTCGTGCAGCCTGGCGCTGCTGAGGCCTTAGCCTCGATGTTGTTGATGCGTGCGAGAGTGAAGTTCAACAGTTGTTGCTGTTGCTGCTGCTGTGTTGCTGCGGCGCGGACGACAGCTGTTAAAGTGGCAGTAACTTGCTGCTGCTTCTGTCTAAGCTGTCGTTCCGCGAGCATGTGTGCCTGTAGTATTGTGTTATACCACATTACCGCTCTCATCATGCCCAACATCAAGTTAGCCAGGTTACTCCTTTCTGCCTCCGCCGGTGTCGGTTCCGCCTGCGTGTCCGAAGGCACAAAGATCATGCCTTGGAGTAGCATTGTCCACTGATTCTCATTTTGAATCAGGGACTCTGTGCTGGCGGCATTCCGTCTGTCTCGAGCCGCTGAGCTTGGGCTGCCGCCTCATTGGCCAGCCGCTGACGTTCCGCCTCTGCTGCCTCCTGTTGTGCCTTAGCGGTAGCGACGGCATCCGTAAATGCATGTAGCCGCTGAAGGTAATCTGACAACAGCTCGTGGTCCCTTTGGGCCGGACATGCGGGGAGAACCCTGGTGGTAACCGGTACTGCAGTTGCTGTACTCGATGCCGCTAGAGTCGTTCGCCTGCTGAGTCGCTGTTGCTGATACTTGGTTCGTGGAGGTACCACAGAGTGGCTACGAACTGCGAGCCTGGCACTACGTCGAGGCAGTGCCCCGGTGTCATGTTCCATCGACATCAGCCTGAGCTGATGTGGTACTTGAGAAGTCCCGGTGGTCACAGAGTACGGGGGCAGGGAGGGTGGGAACAGGGGTAGAACAGATCAAGCAATTCACATACAGTCCCTGTCCCAATTGTGGACTAGACACCTAATCAAAAGAAAAAAAGATGAACTTTTCCCCAAAACAACTTAAAAATTCGTAATAAGAAATAATAATGAATTAATAATCAATAGATTTTAATTAATGATTAATAACGAATTAATAATCTCTTAATAATAATCAATAAAATTAATCAATAATTGCAATAATGATAATTAACGAATTTTAAATTGTGAAAAGATTAGGTATCCGTTGAGATCACCTATGATCCGGGAGTTCACCGTTTATTAGTGAACTACCCGGAAGTTGCAGTTCTGAGGGAATGATTCCGAACAGTTTGCCAAAAAAAAATTCGGATAGTCAGGAAGGAAAACACTCGAATTTTCGAAAAACGTAAAATTTCGGGAATTTCAACCTACAAAAGTCCAATTTTCAAAGGCCTGAGTCCGTATTCGGAATTTATCAAATTAGGGAAAGAAGAAAAAAAATTCGGATTCCAACCCTAATTTTCCGCGATTCCGCGGAATTTCTGGTTTTACGGTTCCAAAACATTCGAATTTCCCAAATTGAACGAAAAAACCGAAATTTTATCGTAACCCTAATTCCAATACCGAAATAAAACAAAATACCGATTTAAAAACCGAATACCGGATTAAAACAGAATGCCGAATTAAAACAGAATACCGAATTGAAATCAGAATGTCGAATTAAAACAGAATACTGATTTAAACAAAATAACAAATTAGAATCAGAATACCGAATTAAAACAGAATATCGGATTAAACAGAATACCAATTAATACCGAATTAAACAGAATACTGGATTAAAACATAATCCTGAATTGAAAGTCAGAATGCCGAATTGAAACGGAATGCCGAATTAAAACAGAATACCGAAAAAAAAAATTGCAACTTTGAATCTCGATAGTGATGCAGAACTGATTTGGAAAATCGAATTAGCAATCTATTTCCTAATCAGAATTACCTTGTGAGCAGATCCATTGATTGGTCTGCTCCGATACCAAAATTGTTGCATACTAGTGAATACTTCAACAAGTATGATCAGAACCAAAGATCAACCAATATAGGGTGAGCATGTATGCAGTGGAAGTCTGATAAATGGACTGACTCACATAGACTGAACTCGTACAGATATCACTCAACACACAAGCAATCGTGAGATGGTGGGGTCTGAGCCAATCATAGACGATGCTTAGGCCCCGTACAACCATACACAGATGAAAGGTGGGAGGAGAGATGAAGGAGGTGGGAGATGTAGGCAGCGCCAGATGTCATCGAGATAGAATCCAGTAGGTCCCCGATATGGTAGTCCAAAATGTCATCGAACAAGATCAAAATGTCGTGGACAATAAGTCACCAATGTCGGAGGTACAGAGTCCTAATGTAACCGGTGTCCAATCTGTGATGTGGCCGAGTATCAATCCCAACAATCTCCAAGTCTCGAATCCGGTAAGTATCACAACCTCTTACCACTGAAGTCCAACACTGATCTTTGTCCATCTCGTATCAAGTCTCCAATCTGAAGAAGAAGAAGAAGTCTGAAGAAGAAGAAGAAAAAGAAGAAGAAGTCTGAAGAAGAAAAGAAGAAGTCTGAAGAAGAAGAGGATGAAGTTGAGGAGGAGATAGCAGAGGAGGAGGGAGGGATGGCGAGGTAGGGAGGAGGAGTGTCCTGGTTACCCTGTCCTGGTCCGAAACCCTACCTGCAAGGTGCAAGGTGGTGCCTTGAAGCCTTCTGCAGTCGAAGTTCGCGGAAGCTATGGCGCCACAGGTAAGTACCAGGTAAGTCTCTCGCTGCTCTCTATCCCAACTGCAGTCTAGCGCTAACCTCGCGCTACTGCAGTAGCGCTGCGCCCTAAACAGAATAGCGCAGCGTTCTCTCCAAGGGCTGCTGCTCCAGAATGCAGGAATGGCCGCTGGACCGGCCTAAGAACCGTCCTGCGGCCGGTCAGCCTCAATGCTGGCCTCCTGCGCCGTGGGCTGAACCGTCGAAAATAGCCGTTCAGCCCAGACCGGCGGGCGGCAGCCTCAAGAGCGCCGCCAGGCCCAAACGGTTTGTCGTTTGGGCCAGACCTGGGTCTGCTGAATACCGGGGTCCAACCGGTAGCCTAATAGGGCCTACCGGGAGAAAAAGGCCTGGCCTTTGGCTAGGCCGGCCTGGGTCCTCCTGAACCAGTGTGTCGGGCCTGTGAAGGCCCGTGTGAAGTTGCAGACTGTAACACACTCCCCCCCTTAAAAGACCGAGCTACCTGCGAGGGCGAAGTTCTGTCCGATACCAGGGTGGGTCGAGAGGGACGAACTTTGTCCTTGGCAAGTCTCCAGTTCTCGTAGTCGAAGAAGATGAGTGGTGCAGATGCCTGTAAGTCTGCGCGGGAGATCCAACGAGTGTCATCAGGGTCACATTGCTTGAAAGTGACTTGGTACTGCATTGGCTTGTTGCCAAACTTGCGGTGCCTGATGACACGGTCAACTTCCGGGTGTCCGTCCATAGAGGGCGGATCTTGTGATGGTCGGCCCGGGAACTCATCCTCGGAAGGTGGCGTGTAGATGGCCAGCTTCGATGCATGGAAGACCGGGTGCACACGAAGGTGTGGGGGGATGGCAATCACAAAGGAAGGACCTGCAGGGTCGTCGCCTGCTGCAGAAGTTACCTTCCATGGTCCAAACCATTTCGGGAGGAGTTTGCGCGAGACGTCCTGCTCGAGCGAGAATTCCTCAGCGAGGACCCAAACAAGGTCTCCTTCGCGGAAAGGACATGGGAGTCGACGTCGGTTAGCTTGCTGCTGCATGCGGACTTGAGCCTTTTGCATGTTTGCGCGGGCTTTGACCAGCAAGTCCCGATACTTCCGAACGGAAGCGGGAGAGCAAGCGACGTCAATGTCGGCGGCCCGTGGTAGAAAAAGATCGGCAAAGACTCGGGCTTTCTCTCCACCGTGATGCAGCTCGAATGGAGTGATGCAGATCGCCGGATGCACCGAAGTGTTATAGGCGAACTCGATGTCGGAAGCCGGTCAACCCAATCTTTCTGGTCGGGACGGATGAGTGTACGTAACATCATTTGAGCGGTTTGATGCGCTCGTTCCGACTGTCCATCCGTTTGCGGGTGCCATGCGGAACTCGGCTTCATAGTTGGACCGGACTCCGTCATGAGGGAAGTCCAAAATGCAGACATGAAGCGAGTGTCTCTGTCGCTCACAATATCTTCTGGAACACCGTGGCATGTAATCCAGCCGGTGTGCAAGAGTCGGTCGAGCTCGGGAGCTGTAGCGCCATACTTGCATGGAAGGAAACGAGCATACCTGCTCAAACGGTCAACGACCGTGAGAATGCCGTCATGACCGAGGCGATCGCGGGGGAATAGGCCTGTAACATCCATAGCAATGGAGAGGCGAGGTGCCCGAGGAATGGGCATCGGTTTCAGTTCGCCATAAGGGACCGTAGATCGACCTTTGTTACGATGGCAAACTGCGCGTGACTCAATGTACCTCGTGACGTCGTGAAGAACGTCGGGCCAGTGAAAACACTGGCGGAGGCGAGCCAATGTGCGGTCCACGCCAAGATGTGTCGAAAGTCGTGCGTCGTGGAATTCGCCGAGAAGACGAGTCCGTAAGATGCGATCTTGGGGCACCACTAACAAGTCCTTCCCTCTCGTGTGAAGGAGTAGGAAACCGTCGGAGATACGATAATGACCAGCCGGCGGGTGATCCGATGATAGGTCCTCATAGAGCGTAGAGTACATCGGATCGGACTTGTAGCCGTTGACGAAATGTTGTTGCAGATCGTCGTCGAGGTCGAACGTCGTGGTCACAAGGGCACAAAGATCGGGTCGTCGTGAGAGGGCGTCTGCTGCTCGATTGGCGGGACCGGGAATGTGGCATGGCTCAAAGTCGAACTGGTCGATGTAATACATCCATCGACCGATCGTGCTAGTGACCGTGTCCTGCGTTTTNGAGAGAGAGAGAGAGAGAGAGAGAGAGAGAGAGAGAGAGAGAGAGAGAGAGAGAGAGAGATTTCAGGTGGTGACTATTTCGGGCCGATGTGCGCCCCGGATCTGATTCGACATTTTTGAGGACAGACGTTGGCTGGACATTTGACGGGGAGACTATTTCTTGGACGACTACGAGTTCTACTCGTCTTCTCCCCCCTCTCCACCTTCGTCTCTCCTCACCTCCCCCCGTCATCATCCGTGGTTTCCACCCCATGTGTGTGTGTGACGAGGCGGAGGTAGACACTCACTCAACTCAACACGGACTGGACACGGCTCAGCGGACGCATACACAAAGTGGCAAAGTCGCAAGTCGCAATCTTGGTTCCGTACACAATGCCGCAGCAAGTCACACTGAAGCACAAGCACTGAGGCCGAAAATTGAATCCCCCAAACTCAGCTCGAGTCCGGTCTTAAGTACCGGACTCAAGTTGAGTCCGAGGGCAAAAGTGCAATTTACCTCGGGGCTGCACTGAAAA